CTGGCAGGAGAAAGAGGCCGGCCGCCCGCCCTCTCGCTCTCTTTAGGGATTTCTGCTCCCCCCTCCAACTCTTGCAAGTATTGTTGGGAAGGTCGGGGGCCTCTCCCGTTTTCGTCAGTTTCTAGAGGAAGTTGCAGAGTAGCGGTGCGTTGTGACTGTTGAGTGGAGCTGAGGGGCCGGGGGAGCTGTGGAGGAGAGCAACGTGGCGTTCGAGCGGTAACGTTACGGGAAAGTTTTTAGTGTGAGAATAGAGCTATGGTGCTAACGCACTCCTTTTGCATTTCAGGATTCGAGTGGCCCTGGAGGCTGATGGAGTAGGACAGACCTCACAGCTTTTGTTGAATATTGTTAATAGTGGTATCTAAGATAAGATGCACAAACACATGATGAAAGCCTCCCTTACAGCCATTCTTTAAGGACCATTCTCTGTCAACTGAGGGAAAGATTCTGCTCACAGTTGGTTATTTTTTGTTTAGGAAGTACATGTGTTTTTTTTTAACAGAAACCTCAAGCAACTCAAGATGCCATGCTGAGGCCAAACTATGGCAGGATATAAACTCCCAGTGAAAGTGATGTTTGGTAGTGCAGTACTGTCCACTAGAAGTGTCACTGAGTTGGGTGAAGAAGCTTTTATTTGGTAGTGTATTTTTGGCTTTGTGTTTCCTAACTTTTTCTTTGACATGCTTCTTCATACAGGCTAGTTTGGAAGATTATGAAGAAACAGTAAAGAAGGCTAAAGAGGCATGGAAGGTTTGGGCTGATGTGAGTTAACAGAGACTTCTCTTTTGTAACTTACCTATGTCAGGTAAAGGCCATTAAATTGTCCTTTTGGAAGTGCAGAAACATGTTCATATTGTGTATGTTGCATTAAAGCAAAAATCTGTGGGGAGGATCGCAAGAAACAAAACCAAACAACTTGCGCACGTTACCGTTGAGGTACAAAGATGAGGACATTGACTTGTGGAAAATGTTTGTTTTGAAAAAGCTGGCAAATATGCACAGGTTTGTGCCTGTAAGCCATTGCCAAGAGGTCTGCTGAAGTTCAGAACATTGTAGCAAGCAAATTATCCCCACGGGTGTGTTTAACTTCCTGCTGCTACCTGCTTTTTCCTGTGAGGATGCGGGAGACTACTTGGATGTCCTATTGATGGTGATAATCTTGTTCTCATGGGGTGAGGAAGACTGCTGCTTTTGAGTGTGCTTTTTTTGTTCACCAGCTGTCCTGGTATTTCACAGAACAGCTGTGTGGTTCCAAAACTTTAGTGTTATGTTCCTGTGGCAGACAACGGCCGGGCTGTTCTTCCTTGTGTGGTATATTATTGATTATTATGAAGAGCCAATACTGGTAACACATTTCAAATACATATAATATTAATACTTGGTATATGGGCTTAATTTTTCCATGATTGAAGCTTCTCAGTCAGGAGGTGTGTTTCATCATCTGCCAACAGCCATTGTCATACCGCATGAATGGTTTAAAAATGTGATGTTAAGTACACTGCAAAAGCTCAGAAACCAGTAACTCTGCTTTTATAAAAAAATGCTTGTTTCTTGAGGTGCAGCTGGTTGGTTGGGGGCATTGTGGGTGGTGTAACTGAACACAAGTAGCAGAACTAATAATCTGAATGTTTCTGGCAGTATTCAGTGGAACTGAAGTTTGGAACAGACATAAATCTGTGCAGTCGTATCAGTCTCTGTGAGGCAGGAAACAGTTTCTTGTGAAGTGGTGTCCATGATAAAAGTGAACAAGTAAAGATGTTTTGGGAAGATAGGGGGGAAAAGCACAGCAATCAATGATTTTGTACTGGTGGCGTAAAAATTTGACAGTATATGTGCAGCAGAACTCACAGATGTTCAGTTTCAAACAGATTCTTTTCTTTTCTTTTCTTTTGACTAGATCCCTGCACCTAAGCGTGGAGAAATAGTGCGACAGATTGGTGATGCCCTGAGACAAAAAATTAAACTTCTAGGAAGCTTGGTAAGGTGTTTGAAGAAGCAGCTTAACTTAGTTGGGAAGGGAAGGATATGTCAAAACTGTGTTTCTCCATTTTTAATGTATCACTCTGCAATACTAACCTTAATAATTGTTCACAGACTGTTAGTTCTGTAAGCTTTCCTAAAGAAATTTTAATTTTAAAAAGGGGAAAGAAAAAAAAAAAAAGATAATATATTAATAGGAAAAGAAAGAGTCCTTCATTCTGAGCCTGTACCCTGGCTGGGAGGAGTGTTGCAACGGCTGCCCTGCAGTTTTTCCACTTGTCTGTCAGATAGGACACTGTCTGATACTAAAAGTGTCCTGAAAAAGACCTTCCCCTAATACAGAGCTTTTAACCTTGAGCTCTTTCTGGTGATCTGCAGGATTTTGTGAACTGACGTGTGGAGGTGTAAGGCTTCAGAAGGTGAGATGCTCTTAATGAGGTCTTCTTGCAGTGCTGTGCAGGACATAAAGGTTGAAAAAACCTCCTTTTAAAGGCTAGCCAGTTGCCAGGGAAGAAAAGAAGATGAGTGTGGAGATTTCCACTTTCCTTTCACAGGGATTGGCTTTATGTGCTGCTATTCAGAAACAGCCATCAGTGAATAACTCTGTGTGTGGTCAAGCCCATATTGTTAACACACAAAACTTGGTTCTGCTGTTTCCCTTGATGTTGTCTCCTCACACAGAGTTTCTGTGGTGGAGTTGGAGGACTAATGTACTTTTCTATTCAAAAGTGGTACAGCTTCTTTGGTGAGTGTGGACAGAGAGAATTTTGCTACATGTTCTGTGGTCAAAACTTGCTGCTTATTGCCAGAGCTTTTTTCCTAAACAGATAATAAGCTTGTTCAGTCTTTCCAAGATAGGGGGTGAACTTCAGGGTGAAAGCTGTGCAGTAAGTATCTGAGTTTTAGGACTTTTCCTGGCTTTAGGATATGTTAAAAGAAAGGGCATGGTAATTCATCTTTCTGTGTGCTGTTGAAAATTTCCGGCCTTTCCTCAGAATGTCCTTTTCAACTATCCAAATATATCCTTACTTCACGTAGAGGCTCACTGCTCTGTGTTTTTGGTAAATATGTCTGATGCCCCTTCATTTCTGGTCACCGATAAGGGCTATTCCTTCTGTCTCGAGGTGACCACAGGCATCATAGAAATACCTAGAAATAAATTCGTTCACCTTTATTTTAACCTTTGCATGGGGAGTAAAATCTTGTGGCAATTCTTTGAACCTGATTCTTCATTTACCACCTTTTCCAAAGTACAGTTGTCAGTCTAAAGTGATAGGTGAATGAACTGCCTGAAAGTCCCAACTACGTATAAGAGCATGACTGTAAAATTAAGTGAGGATAAATGGGTGATTTCTTAGTTCCTACGTTGGAGAGGTTTCTCACTTTTTGACAAAAATGTCATGAAACAACAGCTTCTTCTCATGGGTAATCTGTACATCTGCTGTGTACATCTAACATGCTTTTAAAAGAAGGACATCACTTATGATTGACCTCAGGTATAAAAAAAAAAAGGGACCTTACATATCCCAGGTTACTAAAGTACTAAGGATGTGTAGACAGTTTCATCAGTGTCTGAAACTGGAATCTCTCAAACTTGCTCTAAGATACTGTAAAGTGAATAGTTTCCTTATGAAAAATTGCAGATGACCCATTTTCTTTTGCTGGAGGGGAATAATCCCTCTTTTCCTATTTATTCCATATCTGGTCTACAATGTATGCAGACATCCTGATGGAAATTCAGTGTTTCATTGCTCTAAACCTATGAACCTCTTTACTGTTGGATACTCCTACTTTTAATTTCCTCTATTCCTTAATCTCCTCTTCTAATTTCCTCCTGTTGTATGAGAATGTGACTCCTGTCAACTGTATTCATTTTATGCTGTGAATAACTCGGGAGGAGTTGAATCTCTTAGGAAAAAATGTGTATTAAACCTTACTTGATGTACAGGTATACCTGACAGTGGGAGACAAAATGTATTTGGGATGCAAGGTGATTTTTTTAAAAAGAGTTTTGTCTTGCTTTTCATTTTTTCAGGTCTCTTTGGAAATGGGAAAGATTTTAGTTGAGGGTGTTGGGGAAGTGCAGGAGTACGTTGATGTCTGTGACTATGCTGTTGGTTTGTCCCGAATGATTGGTGGTCCTGTTTTGCCTTCAGAAAGTAAGTAAAGTATGTATATGTGTTGCTTGGTTGCTTTTTTTTTTTTTTTTTTTTTTTTTTTTTTTTTCTATATGAAGAGGTGGGGGTGTTTTTTTTTTTTTTTTTTTTTTTTTTTTTTTTTTTTTTTGTACATATGAAGAGATGGAGATGTATCTTAAAGATACAGTGCTGTAGTGCAGCAAAATCTCTTTACTGTGAGTTACTTAGGGGAGTGTATTTGCTAGGAGTAGACGTGGTGGTGTGCAGTTGCACCACCTAATCACGTATGTATCCTTGGACATACAGCCACAGAGGCTGTAGATCTTCTTTCCATTATTAAAGGAATTAGGTTCTGTTTGATTTCATTGTTAGTGAAGGTGCTAGAGGTAAGTATGCAAAAAGTTCATGGTGTAATTACAAATGAGAGACCTTTTTTTCAGGTACTGGTTAGAAAACAATTGCCAGTCTTTTAACTGAATAGTTAAAATACTAAAGCTGCGTGTTGTAATGTTATTAGGGTTTTCACAGTCTAGCTAACCTTGTTCCAGCAAGCTGCAGAGCACGTATGATACAGCTCTCCACAGGCTGATGCTCTGATGGACAGAGGAGTTATGCTAGGCCCCTTGCTCACGTGGTGTTCTTTTACAAAAAACCCACTGAATGGATCCAAATGGCATCATGCTGTGTCTTTGCTTCCAGGACCTGGCCATGCCCTTATAGAGCAGTGGAATCCCGTGGGGCTGGTCGGGATCATCACAGCCTTTAACTTCCCCGTGGCGGTGTATGGGTGGAACAGTGCGATCGCAATGGTCTGTGGAAACGCTTGCCTCTGGTGAGTTACAGCTCCACTGGGCCAGCAGTGTTTTGAAACTGCAGAGCGATTATCTCGGGCATTAAATTGGTATTCACAGTCTGATGTTTCTGTATATTTGGTTCTATCTCATGTAGGCTTAATTTCTATTTATTCTTAGGTTCCCTTGTAGTCAAAAAGCTTTTTCAATTTTTGGTAACTTCTTTTATGATGTATTGAGGTTTGTACCTATCCAGGACTTAGCCAGCGGTCTGTCTGTGAAGAACCCAGTTTGAGGTCTTGTAGCGGTGGTAGCAAACAGTGTTTTCAGAATTGGAATAGCAAAAACTAAGAATCTGAATAAGTAGGTTTACTTCCTCTCCCAGCTCCTGCTCCGCTTTCATCTACCTGCTTCACTGTAACATCCGACGAAGCTTTCACATGGATTTCAGCAGCAGCTCTGAACGTTCAGCTGTGTGAAAGAAGCACTTGAGTTGCTGTCTTAGCACACACTGTAAAACAGCCTAACAAAAGTGTACTTCAGATACCATAAAAATTGCCTATATGTATTGTGTCTGACTATCAAAGAATTGGAAAGAAAATAACATCTTTATTTCTTATTGTTATTTTTTCTTCTTAGGAAGGGTGCTCCTACAACATCCCTCATTAGTGTTGCTGTTACAAAGTAAGTTTGGGTTTCTTTGCTTTCTGTTATGCTTTTTAAGCAACTTAATACCTTTTCCAGGTAGTGCTTAATGGTCAGAACTGCTTCCCCCTTGTTACCTAAAAAGTAATAGTATATGTAGGATGCTAACCTGCATTTTTGGCCCTTTGGTTTTTTTTTGTGACCACAGAAGCGCATCTGCTGAAGTAAAGCTAGCTGTGTGGTTTGCTTCCTTCTAGATGAATTGCTCATGAAATTCGGCTTCCCTCAGTCATGCACTTCACATTTCAGAATCATCCCTTTTTTCAGGAATCTTAGCCCATTATCAGTGCACATTTTCTTGGGAAATTTTTCTGACTGGCTGTGTAGGCCTGTATCCTGAAGACGCCCTCACACAATTTTCATTATCCAGATATCCTAGTAAAACCTTAGCATGCACTCCCAGGGTTCAAAACTCCTTAATAAAAAGAACAAAGAGTAAATGCCATAGTGATACTTGCTCCACATTTATTGTACATGGCTTACTATATTAGCTTTTTAAATACTTGGTTTTTGTAGCACACAATAGATATTTGTTTTTAAACGCTAAATAAAAGTAGGTCCCTTTAAAATAGCTAATTAGTAAGTTCTGTGGCTTTAGTATGTAAACTCCTGAGGAAAATGGCCCCAAAGTACTTACAAGTACTTTATGTAGCTCCATGGAAGTTATATCAATGTCTCTTTCTAATGGTGAAAGACTGTATGGCGAGGGTTTCTACATGCTGGTCTAATGCTTGTTGTGTGGACAAATAATACATGTATTTTAGAGTCTTATTTCCACATGAGGAATGATCATGACACCAAAGTCTTTGATGGAGGAAGTGTGTTATTTATTGTACAAACTCTGTATCGATTGACAGCAAGACTGCTGCTTTTTAAAAATACATAGCTGCTTCATGTGCCTGGTCAGTTTAATGGTTCATTTCCTAGCATGGGCATCAGTTGGAAATCTGAAATTTTTATGTCTTTGATTCTAGGATAATTGCCAAAGTCTTGGAGGACAACAATGTGCCTGGAGCTATCTGTTCTCTGGTTTGTGGTGGAGCAGACATTGGGTAGGAAGCAATTCTTGTGCTTTATGAAGGTGTATAAAGGGTAAAGAATATCCTTTGAGTTACTTCTCAAAGTTATTCCTGTCTCCAGGAGTTCCCAGTACAAGCACCTACCTGTTGACATAATTTTTATCAGCTGGTCTCACTCTGCCCTTGCTGTAGGCACAATACATATTTCTGCGTGGTGCTGTGAGATCAGCTGCTGACAAATAACTTGTCAGATACTTAATGAAGACATGCAGAAGTAGAACATAAACTCAGTGTTATATGTTTGCACCCAAAGAATACTAATAGCTAATACTGAATTTCACTCACCACATTCTTAAGAGTTTTCAATTTCTAGCCCATTGACCTTTTGCACCACTTGTAGAAGAGAATACTTCCTGGTGTTCCATGCCTATGTAGGACTCTGCACTTGCTTATAGACATGTACTTGTGCTTGGAAGATGTACAAATAAAGTTGTTATGTTTGAGTATTACAATGTGGAAATTCCGAGTACAAATGTAGGTTCAGATGTATCTTTCGAGCTTTTCAAGAGAAGACAGAACAGATGGTAAGCCTTAAAAAAAGACATAGTTTTGCATATGTTTTTAGGGAACATAACAGTTGGAGCTGATCTCATGATGTACTTTAGACCGAAAACCTAAAATTACCACAAAATTACTACAGGTGATGCTCTTATTGTCTGAAAACAGGGAGGGGAACAGCCTTGTTCCTCTTTTTTGGCTAAGAAGAGGCTTTCCTGTCATCTGCTCAGTCACTCACCTGATGTTTTCAGAGAAGTGGCTCTGACTTTAGAAGATCTCCCTGGTTGAAGCTGGTTTATGTGGAAGCTGCAAGCAGCTTTTCCATCTATGTGCCCTTCTGTTGAACGTGGTGGTGTGTCTTCTGTTGTGCAGGACAGCAATGGCGAGAGATGAGAGGATGGACCTGTTGTCCTTCACTGGCAGCACAAAAGTGGGCAAGCAAGTAGCACTTATGGTTCAGGAGAGATTTGGTGAGTGTGTGGGGTCTTTCCAATTTTATTGTGCTTGGAAAAGGCAGGGCATCCTCCTGGGATTTTAAAATAACAGCTTGTTTCACTTGCTTCTTGTGTTCCTGTTGTTGTTTGGTTGGTTGGTTTTTATTTGTTTGTTTTTTGACTTAGTGGAAATAGGATGTTGAAACTCCTCAGAGCTAGAGGCTGCATTTTTCATTTAGTTCTGTCACAATTCAGCGTTTCTTTTTTTTTTTTTTTTTTCAAGATTTCCACAAGTCCATGGTCCTACAGTTTTTTTTTTTGGGAAGGGAGTGGTATCCATCAGTATAATCGTATGGAGATTGTCAAGAGGAGCAGCCAGGGCCTATAGTCTTTTGGCAACGTGTTCATGGCACAATGCCCTCTTGCCTTTGTCTCCTTTATAAATACAAGAGAAAAGTTGTGATTTTTAAGGTGATGTTTATATTTTGAGTATTTTAAAGTATACAGGCATGGGACCATGCACAGCTGCTGGATTGTAACTTCTTCGTTTTAAACAGAAAACCTTGTAAACGGGATTTTCATACACCTGAAGTTCATAGAACTGTACATTTTAAAAAAAAATTAGAACAGATTGCATATGTTCACCCAGAAGTAGATAGTGATTTTTTTCTCTCAGATTTGAGAGAAAACTGTTTCCAGAGAAATAAATAAGCCTAGTTAACTTTTATGTGTGCATTTACATCCCTGTATCAACTCCTGTTCTCTCTCTGGATTGAACTATATGTACTGCTACTCTTTCTGATTTCATAATTTCCTTTCCAGTGCTAAATTTTTGCTATATTTTTAAAGTTTGTTTCTGCCATAACTGTTCTCCACGTATTTTTTTTCACAGTACATGATAGATGTAGCATTTGGTGTAGTATTCTGCTTTGACTAGAGTGAATAGTTGACTGATGCATAAACTTTTTGTCTATCCAGAAGAATATGCGTACTGCAACTTAGCTCTGGTTACAGGTGGCCTCACTGAATGGGGTGTAGTGAATATATATGTGCATGACTTGGTTTTTTGTGTTTTTATTAGGTCGAAGTCTGCTGGAACTGGGAGGAAACAATGCCATAATTGGTAATATGCACTGTAGAAAAATAGTCCCATAGATGATCTTTGCAAGTTAGTATACAAATGTTTGTAGCAAACTGTCTTTTTAATTTTTTTTTTCTTTTTTCCCACAATGGGGGTTTAAAAAGTACAGAATGGAGTGTTTGGTGTTTTCTATGTTCAGTATGGTGGAGGAGTAGTATTTTAGATAAAAAAAGGAAGTTCAAGTGCTTGTACGTATTCACTGTTGAGGTGAAGAAGGGAATGAGAGAAACAGTTAAGCTTCAGTAGTGGGATGTGGACAGTGCTGAATAAATTTGATTTCAAGATAATTCTAATCTCATGGACACCACTTTTTTTAGCCTTTTGGAATGTAAGTAGAATCATAGAATCACTATGGTTGGAAAAGACCTCTAGGGCCATCAAGTCCAACCTCCATCCCAGCACTTCCTAACCACTAGACCATAGCCTCAAGTGCTGCAAGCTACTGCTTGAGTTTTCAAGACCTCCAGGGATGGTGACTCCACCACCTCCCTGTGCAGCCTATTCCAATGCCTCACCACTCTCTCAGGGAAGAAAGTCTCCTAACGTCCCATCGAAACCTCCCCTGATGCAAATCAAGGCCATTTCCTCTCATTTTATCCTGAGTAATTTGTGAGAAGAGCCCAACACCAGTACATATAGATGAAGTCTGAGACAGCAAAACATGCAGGTATTTACTTTGGTAGCACATTTTAAAGGTTTAAGTAGCTTAGGATATGATCCAATTCCCACATAAACCTAACATAAATACTGTGATGCTGAGCGATGTGGCAGAAAGAAAATATTAGCTAGATAGATGCCTAAATTGCTGTCCTGTTGTGTTGTAGCGTTCTGTTTCACCTCTTTCATACTCTGAACAAACATAGTTGCCTATGTGGATAATTAAGCTCTTTTGAAAATCCCATTTCAGCAGGTCTTTCTTTTTTCCTGTGCTTCTTTGCAGTCTGTATCATACAGTTGTATTATAGTTAGAAAATAGTTTCCTTTTTCGTAGCAAAGTCTTGGTTTTTCTGGAATTGACTTTGAATGATGGCATGAAAGTTGTTTGGTTGTCCTTTGTCCAAGACTTAATAATAATTATACATACAAGCTTCGCTTTAAACGTCCCAGCAAATTCCAGTCAGGTGAATTTGTTTGGCTTGTTTATATTTTACATTATTGTATGCCTGTGCGTTTTGGCTCCTTTTTTTTTTTTTGCATATCAGCCGGGTGAATACACTTTGCCATTATTTCTTTATGCTGCTAAACTTCTCAGAGAGAAGGAGAAGGTGAAGAAATGGCAAGAAATTATTTGTAATTTCTTGAATGAAAATGAAACGTTCTTTGCAAGCTTTGTTGCAAAAGGCTGTCTCAGTAGTTCAGACCGATGTTCATGTCCAATTGCATGTCTCTAATTCCAGATGTAAAAGTCATAGGAGTTTTGAAGTGTTTCTTTCTGTCTTGAGTGTATCACGCTAGCGTAGCTGTTCCTAATGCTTCTTGACCAACCTTTCAGTTTATTGAGGCTTTTAAGTCTTGCAGACTGCCTGTTTACTTCAATAACAAGCTGGTGTTTTAATTTTTGTTCAGTGTTTGAAGATGCAGATCTGGACCTTGTCATACCATCTGCTCTGTTTGCTGCTGTGGGAACAGCCGGTCAGAGGTGCACAACTGCTAGAAGGCTGGTGAGTGAGTGTGCATTGCCTGCCTTGGGAACCGCTGGATTTAAATAATTCCTAACTGGCTCAGAAAATGCCTCACCATTCCTAATGTTATGGAGAGCAGCAAATAATCTTTGACACGTTTTTACTTTGTCAGAAATCATTTTGATGGGAAAATAAGGTGGTGGTTTGTCATCCTGCTACAATTCTAGCTCTAAAGAGTTTCTTTGTATGTGTTTCTAAATGTACCTGCTACTAAAACTCAGGGAAATAACTTAACTGTTCTTCCTGTATGTCTGTCTGCCAGAGCTTCTTTGCTTTTGCCTGCTACAAATTTTGGTGTGGGGTTTAGATTTCAGCAAAGCAAGGGTATGTGTGTTGCTTATTTTATTACTGATTTTTAACCAATTTCAACAAATTTAAATGTGTTATAATGCCAGCCTCTTGTCTGTATAGTCTTTTCAGAATCAGGCTGATGGGGTAAATACTCATCAAAAATGATGTGGGTTAGCTTTGGGTGTATAGGAAAGGCACTGATTCCTGAAATTATAGCAATAAAAATCACTTTAACCTAGAAGTGAATGTAAGTCCACTTGAACCTAAGCTCTAAAACACTTAACTGAAGAGTTTACAGAGTGCATTGATACTGTTGATCTTAGATGGGGCAAAATTAAAACAAGCTTTTGTTTCTTTGCTTCCTTTAAGTCTTTACAATTACAATTTAAAATCTTCATTTAATGGTGTTGGTGCTGTTTTGAGTCCTTGCTTCTGTGTTTATTTTTAACTTTGGGGTTTGCTGAGTATGAGCAACGCTGCCTCCACACTTCATTCAGCCCTCTTCAGAGTCCAGTAGTACTTCAGATAAAGTCACATAGGCTGAGCTGTCTTACAACCTTCTTACTGCATTTGTTTAGTTCCTCCATGAAAACATCCATGATGAGGTGGTGACAAAGCTTGCCAAGGCCTATGCCCAGGTCCGCATTGGGGATCCATGGGACTGTAAGTAGCTATTTCCAACTCATGGGTTTAGGAGTCAAGTTTGTTTGTATTTCTGTTTAAATGCCAAAGAAATTACAGATCAGAACTGTCTGATTTTAGCAGTGTACCGGGGAGTAGG